GCGCATCCACACAGGGCTGAAACTGCTGTCAGCATCGCCCGGCTTCTGCTCGTTGCTTGGTGCATTAGTGGAAGTGGGTTCTTGTGTTGATGGTTTGTCACCCTCAGGTTTCTCGCTGTCACCAGGTGTCTCATCAGGATTCTGGCCGGGGGTTTCTTGATCATTAGGAGGTTTCTGTCCCTCGCCCTCAGGTTCCTTCTGATCTTCATCTCCAGCGTTTTCTTTATCTTCATCCTCTTCATCCGTGGTCCCATCTTCTGGGGATTCTTCTGGTTCCTCTGGGGGGGTTCCACTTGGAGGTGTTGGGCTCCCCTGATCTGGAAGTTGTCCTGTCCCCTCATTTTCTGGATCCTTTAGGTCATCATTACCGCCTTCGGTCTCACCTGGAGGAGATACTTCTGTTCCCGGTTCCTTATCTGGATCTCCCTCACCCCCCACTTGTCCTGGTTCTTCTGAGTCTGGTACTTCTCTGACCGAAATGCTCTTATTGTCTTTAACCTCAGCAGCAGAAGCCGCCATGGCATACCCGCAGGCGATGCACAGCAGAACGGCCAACACACACATCACACGGTTCATCTTCATCATCGTGAGAGAAAAAATAGTTTGGTTTGCGTCAAAACACTGATCTAGAAAAAGAAAACAATAAAGAGGGAAAAAGGAGAGAGAGAAAGAGACTGGATACAGGACTCAAATACTCACAGTGAGAGAGAGAAGCAGCTGCAACAGCAGAGTACAGTAGTAGAAAAAGGAATAGTCCCTTTGCAAGATGATGCAGACCCCCCAAAAACAGTATATACAGAAAAAAAAAGTACACAAATCCAAAACAAAAGGGTCAAATACCAAAACTCCAAGTGTATATTGTTGTACAACAGTCTGGGTTTATTAATCACAGGTATAAACGTATTTGTGATACATACGATATATACGTGGTCAGTGAGCAGATAAGAACGCACAGGGTCTCTGCACATGACCAAAAAACGAGAAATTTAATGAGAGAAAGGTAATCAAAAAAAAAAGTGCAAAATAAAAAAAGAGGAAGTTCAATACAATTAAAATAAACCTCCAAGTATATAGCGAATTACTTTACTTGACTACGGAAGTAGCGATAATATATATATGGCGAAATTATTATTATTAAGTGCTTCCGTCAATCAAACAAATCCCCTCAGTACACCGTTTTACAATACCAACGCAGCCACAATCAGCAGAGGTGCGGCAGTGCGCATCCACACAGGGCTGAAACTGCTGTCAGCATCGCCCGGCTTCTGCTCGTTGCTTGGTGCATTAGTGGAAGTGGGTTCTTGTGTTGATGGTTTCTCGCTGGGGTTTTGTTCATCTCCTCCTGTAGGAGGTTTCGACTCGCCATTGTTATCCCCTTCACCCTCTCCATCTTCAGGTTTCTCTGGCTTGGGGCTAGGGTCCGTTGCACTCCCATCTTGGTCTCCATTTTCTTCTTCTTCTTTATCATCTCCAGGACCAGCTTCGGGTCCATCTGGTTTCGCTTCTGGTTCTTTATCTGTTGGATCATCCTCTTCCTCAGGAGAATCCTCTTCTTCTCCATCTGGTCCTTCTACTGTAGGAGGTACTCCTGATTCTGGCACGCCACCAGCACCTGCACCGCCGCCCAGTGACTCATCTCCCCCACCCACTTCTCCTGGGGCACCTGTGTCTTCTTTCCATTGAACTGCCTTTGTCTGTCCAGTAGTAGTAGTGGTCGCCGCCATGGCATACCCGCAGGCGATGCACAGCAGAACGGCCAACACACAAATCACACGGTTCATCTTCATCATCGTGAGAGAAAAAATAGTTTGGTTTGCGTAAAGACACTGATCTAGAAAAACAAA